TGGCCATCTCCACCGTGTCCCCAAACCGATGGCACTGCAGGATTGGGGACATTGGGGACAGTGTCACTGTCAATGTCACCATTGTCACCATTGACACCCCCCTGTGTCACCATTGTCACCCCCGTGTCATCCCCCATGTCCCCAGAGCACAGTGCACAGGGACACTGCTCCAGCATGGCCGCCATCGCCATCTCCACCGTGTCCCCAAACCGATGGCACTGCGGGATTGGGGACATTGTCACCCTCAGTGTCACCATTGTCACTGTCAGTGTCACTATTGTCACCCCCCGTGTCATCCCCCATGTCCCCAGAGCACAGCACACAGGGACACTGCTCCAGCATGGCCGCCATGGCCATCTCCACCATGTCCCCAAACCGATGGCACTGTGACAATGGGGACAATGGGGACAGTGTCACCCCCGATTGTCATCCCCCTGTCCCCAGAGCACAGCACAGAGGGACAGTGCTCCAGCATGGCCGCCATGGCCATCTCCACCATGTCCCCAAACCGATGGCACTGTGACATTGGGGACAGTGTCACCATTGTCACTGTCAGGGTCACCATTGTCACCCCCCGTGTCACCATTGTCACCCCCCGTGTCACCATTGTCACCATTGACACTCCCCCCCTGTCCCCATTGCACAGGGACAGTGCTCCAGCATGGCCGCCATGGCCATCTCCACCGTGTCCCCAAACCGATGGCACTGTGACAGTGGGGACATTGGGCACAGTGTCACCCCCCCGTGTCACCATTGTCACCCCCCGTGTCACTCCCCAGTGTCCTTCCTGTCCCTTTTCCCTCTTGTCCTGTTCCCAGTGTCTCCATGTCCCCATTGTCACCTGGTTGTCCACTCTGAGCTCGGACAGTGTCCGGCAGTGTCCCCATTGTCACTGTCAGTGTCACCTGATTGTCCACTCTCAGCTCGGACAGTGTCCGGCAGTGTCCCCATGTCCCCAGTGTCCCCATTGTCACCTGATTGTCCACTCTGAGCTCGGCCAGTGTCCGGCAGTCCGGCACTGCCCCCAGCACCCGCAGTGTCCCCATGTCCCCATTGTCACTGTCAGTGTCACCTGATTGTCCACTCTCAGCTCGGACAGGGTCCGGCAGTGTCCCCATGTCCCCAAGGTGTCCCCATTGTCACCTGGTTGTCCACTCTCAGCTCGGACAGTGTCCGGCAGTGTCCCCATTGTCACCTGATTGTCCACTCTGAGCTCGGCCAGTGTCCGGCAGTCCGGCACTGCCCCCAGCACCCGCAGCATTCCGGCCGCGCTGATGAAGTTGGACTCGAGGTTGAGGCTGCGCAG